ATCTGCAGCTTCACCTCTCTGTTTGTGACACCCAACACTCTACTGCAGTAACTTTTGATCAACCAGAAGCGGTTTAAGCTTTGGAATGTTATTTCCATCCACCTCCTGATGTAGTTCCTGTTACTTGTTTGGTCTGCCAACTCCATCCTGTTCCTTTTCACAGCATTTTTAAGTCAACTATGAGCCAGATAACTAAAACAGAACATATTGCCTTGTGACTCCGCCTCTTTCTTGTAGGCTCCAGCACCCCACCCCCATGACCCTGAACAGAATCATGCAGGCTCGGAACATGAGTGAGATAATGTATGGTCTAATCAGAAGTACGCACTGATTTACACACCACACTACTACCCTCATTCTAACTGAGTAGCTTGTTGTCAGGTAAAGTCACCTTGGCATTAATCTCTTGTGAATAGTTTGTTAAAAACTAATAAATGATGATTAATAATCAAGCAACTGTTTACTATAACAAGCTCAATTCTGTCACATCAGCAACATTCAGCTCTCTTGTACATTGGATCTTTGCATGCATGAAGATCCACACTGGCATCTGTGATGCTCCACAGACTGAGGCAACTTCACTTCAGTTTGTATTGTGCATTAAACATTCCTCATGTGTGTTTAATGCAGCTGGGATACTGAATGCATGCTATAGTAGTACATCTGCAGAGTGCATAATGTTAACATCGTCCTCAAGGCTGCAGAAAGTGACACGTCTTCGTACTTGTGCCTGCTTTAACTTGTACTGTGGAATAGACCCAAATAGTTTGGCACTGTGGCAAACTCTCCTGGTTTTTATCATGTAATATTGTTCCTTGCTAGAGCTGTGACATAAAGAGACATGCCTGATCCCTGTCTCATTAGATTTGGGTATTGTGATAGGCCTACCTGCTTCAAAACCACCAGTGAGTCGTGACCAATGGCTGCTCATACTCAGCCAGGCATTTTTTAATTATTATTTCTAATTATTATCGGTCACTGAGTTTTTCATGCAGACTAGACATGAAAATAGTCTCCTACACCTATCTCCTACATTAGCGTCTGATAGAAAATAGATGATGAAATGCTAGGATTTGAAATGCCAGACAGTGTGACATCACACTGTCACTTAACATTCTTGGACTCACCCATCTTGACTCATGATGGGCTCATGTAAGGCTATTGTTGGTTTAGCATCCAGAAAACAGCAAGCTAGTAGAAGAAGCTAACTGTTAGCATTAGCGACTCCACCACACAGCAGAACCCCTTCAGGCTTCAGTTATTCATAAAATAACTATTATTAGTAGTAGTAGTAGTGGTAGCATTATTATTTATTAGATAAAACATCAACGTTGCAAAGTAAACAGTCTGTGGTAGAGTTGCATTGCTGTTATCCAATCAGAGGTGAGATGTCAAAATATCAGGAAGTAAGACTCCAAATCCTGCCGTCTGAAGCTCTCCTTTGATCTGGAAATCTTCTATAATCCTGAAACAGGCACTCAGAGTATGACTTAAAAAGCATTCGTTCCTACTAGAGACAACTGCAAATGTATTGATTAAACAAGTGAACAACACCTTCAACTAACTGGCAAAATGAACTATCTGCCTTGAGACAACTCTTGTTTTGATTTGACATTATATGAATAAAGGGAACTGAATAGAATCTGCACTAATATCGTTGATGGAAATTCCCATTTCTTCAAATGAATCGGTAAAAATGATGACTTGGTCATGAAATAAGTGCAACTGAGCAAAATAGTTATTGTTAAAAATAATAGAAAGTCAATATTCTGCATCATTTTGCCTGCATATTAAATTATAGTGGAGTCTAACTGGTGTTAAGTTTATTGTTTTTACAGTAAGTGTGTGGGCAGGAGCTTTGTGTATAAATCATATTTAAGAAACGTGTGTGTGTGTGTGTGTGTGTGTGTGTGTGTGTGTGTGTGTGTGTGTGTGTGTGTGTGTGTGTGTGTGTGTGTGTGTGTGTGTGTGTGTGTGTGTGTGCGTGCGCTAGCTGAGTAAATTTGCATGTTGCATCACTCCAAAGTTTAAATAAATCAGAAGGCATGAAGACTTTTATTTCCCTTGCTGTCTTTTTATGCCACACATAGTCGCCATAGACGTGTTCCAGCTAGTCACCTGGTGATAACAGCAGCCGTGTGTAGTGATTAACCCCCCACCTTCGTCGGCTGGACCAAACACATGCTGTTTTAAGCTCTTTGACTCCCCGAGGTTGATGAACACCCTGCAGTGGAGAACTGATGTAGGAAGGTTTGTAAAGCATCAGCAAAGGGAGAAGGCAACAAGTGCTGCACCATGGGTGGAAGTCACTATGTGTAGCACCATGGGGGACGACATTATGTGTAACACCAGCTTGCTCTTATTGTGCTTCCCACTGGGCTAATAGTTCTGACTCATCCTCAAAAAATCAGGACATAATCATAATTTTACTCTGATTAGATTGTTTTTTTTTTTTCATTTTGGTTGTGTGTACTTCTCCATGTGTATTTACTAAGTAAACACAGCTTTACATGTGAACTGGCTATACTTTTATATAAAGATTAGGGCTGATTTACATAATTAGATGTTTAATTAACGAGAATGTTCACTGAGAAAAAAATGTTGAATGTTATTTTTGAAGAAAAATTAGTGATTTGGAGTTTTATTTTTTGACTGAATGTGGAAATAGTTCACCCCGTTTTCCTGGATTAGCCACTCGAAAGTAAATAGACGGGGAATTGCTCGATCTACGTCACAATGTAAATTACCATGCGTAGACTCACCCATCTTGGCTCATAATTGGGGAAGGCTGTTTTGATTTTTCTAACCAGGAGAGAGAAGAGCATGTCTCAGCTAGTAGAAGCTAACTATTAGCATTAGCAACTTCACAACGTGGCAGAACTCCTTCAGGCTTGTGTTTTTTTTTTGTGGAGATAAAACATCAACACTGCAGGGTGAGTGGAAGCAGAGGAAGAGTTGCATTGCTGTTAGCCAATCAGTAGCTCAGGTGGTAGAGCGGGTTGCCTCATGATCGGAGGGTCATGGGCTCGATTCCAGCTCCCACCAGGGGTATCCTGCTGTTGTGTCCTTGGGCAAGACACTTCACCCAACTTGCCTGTGTTAGTGGTGGTCAGAGGGGCCGACGGCGCCAAATGGCAGCCTCGCCTCTGTCAGACCTCCCCAGGGCGGCTGTGGCTGCATGTAGCTTACCATCACTAGCAGTGTGTGAATGTGAGTGATAGGTAATTAGATTTATCCCATATTACCTTAAAGGACGACACAGAGAGAGAGAGAGAGAGAGAGAGAGAGAGAGAGAGAGAGAGATTATTTGTAATGTCCATGTGGGCGAATCAACATGCGAGAAGCTGGACTCAACCAACCAGCCCCCACTCTGCTCCAGCCTCAAAGCCTTCACCTCACCAGCTCTGCATACCCGCGGTCTCCATCAGGAGACCAGAATGTTAGGTAATATTTAATCTCCATAACCCTGGAACCTGAAATAAACACACATGACAACAAGGAAGACATTTTACCCTGAGTCCCCAAAATAAATGGAGAGTTAAAGCAGAGGAACCTCCTCCGAGGCTTCCCCACGTCACTCCCCTGTGCTCCCAGTTCGTCAGGGACTTTATTCACAAAGGATGGAGGAGAAGGAGGGCCTTCTCAGGTTACAGAGGTACAGAGGTTTCCTTGGAAATCTACAATCAACATCCTGGAAATCCACAATCAACATCCTTGACTGCAAACAAGCTTCTCTGCTCAACCTTTCATGAAGGGCAGCTTTTAGGCCTCAAAAAGGTACAATTATAAAAATACCCAACAGTGAGAGTGTGTGAAAGCGTCTTTGGGTGTCTAGAAAAGCGCTATATAAGTTCAATGCATTATTATTATTATTAAAGGAGATGTCTGAACATCATGAATATTAATGAGTAAGACTCAAAATCCAGTGGTTTTTCTGGCCCCCTCACCTCCGGCTAACCTCTATTTCCTGAAACACCAGAGCGCCTGAGCTTTTTTTCCACAGAGGGACTCACAAGGCATTTATTTAAACTAGTGACCACAGCTAATGTATGTAAAACAAGTGAATGAGAGCTTTAAAGCCCACTCTGTTGACCACTCTGTTCTCTGGTAACATCGGTCGCTCATCTGGACAAACTCAGACTCCACTATCTTGGACTGCAGCTGGGACTTTTGATCCTCTTTCTGCTCTGCAGCCCCATTTACTTTGACGTGGCAGTGAACAAACCAGTTCTTCGCCTGCTGCAGGTTCTGCTTGGATTGGCTTTCCCAGTGGACTTCAGTCAATGGCTGCAGTCATTGACTGTGGAGCTTAAGTCCATCTGCAGGATAAGATTTCCAAGAGAGGAAACAGAGTAACACAAGGACAATTTAAAAATTAGACTAATGAGTCTGCAGATCTGAATATATCTCCCAGTATGAGCTCGGGCTATGTGCGGGAATTATATTGTCCAGTCATGGTGCGTCAGCATTTTAGCTTAGTATGTGTAAAATAAATGTAAATATTGGGAAAGAAACTGTGCAGCTTTTCAACAGTGGTATAGTATAAACTGGGTAAGATATTTTAGTGAAAAAATGATTTTTTTTTACATCAATGAGCAAAAAATACATAATCTAAAACAGATCACTAGATTCAAACTACTTTCCCTTCCCTCATCAGTGTAATTAAGAGTCATTTTTGTGAAAGCACGGCCGTTAGCTGTGTCATGGTATGTTTAATTATCCCACATTGGGCTGTTAATCTGATTGGCGGGAGTGGGAGACACTGGAGGCTGCACACACACACACACACACACACACACACACACACACACACACACACACACACACACACACACACACACACACACACACACAACCTGTTCTGGCAACGTAAAATTGCATTGATTTTAATATCTGTTTCAGTTTCAGTTCATTGTAAGACTACAAATGCAGTGCAAACTTACTTTTATGTATTTTGACTATTTAAAAATGTAAATTGGATCATTTTCTTTGATGCTCAGATCCGTAGACAAGGAGGTATCCAGCTGCTGGTGGACCTGCTGGACCACAGGATGAGTGAGGTTCACCGCAGCGCCTGTGGAGCTCTGAGGAATCTGGTGTACGGCAAGGCCAACGACGAAAACAAAGTCACGCTAAAGAACTGTGGAGGGATTCCTGCCTTAGTCCGTCTCCTGAGGAAGACTGGAGATGTGGAAATCAGAGAGCTTGTCACAGGTATCGTCCATTTTTAATCTCAAGCATAGCTGTGTATGTGATTCTGATCCCTAACGACATGCTGACATGTTCATATGAGCCTTTGGATATACAGCAGACCCAGCAATGTTATTCATCCTGGTTCCAACAAGTTTCCTGAATATAACCCTAACACCCAACCCTAACACATCTGATTTGTTTGATTTAGTGATGAACCGTTCCTCTGGAAAGTAATGAAGGTTGAGGGGACAATTCAGCAGTTAGATTAAGGTGTTAAAAAGACAAACGCACAGTGAAGAGATACGTTTTGGTTTTGGTTCTACTAAACAGACACTAGGGGGTGCTAAAAGCATGCCTAAACTGCCAAGTGTGCCTTTAAGGCCAGGCATACACACAGCAGTTTTTTTCTTTGTAAAACAATATCTTTTTCTTGCCAATCCTGGAAAGAAAAGCTTTTAAAAGCAAATAATTAAATTAATTAATTAATTAATTAATTAATTAAATCCAGTTCATGTGAATCACATTCAGAGGCATGCAAAGCCTGTAGGTGGCAGTGGTTCCCCAAATTATTGAAATCTGCTGAAAAGTAGTCACTGGACTTGGAATAACTAGGTGGCGGCCAATAATCATGCTTAACTTCATCCTCCGTCTGAGAGCAGTAAATTAATGTAAACACAGATCACACGTGTGATGTCGGAGTGTGTTTGTCTTGGGCAGTGACATTTCAAAGCTTATTTATTTTTGTTATTTACATCCACAAGCAAATGCTGACAAGGACTAGGACTAGATTACCCAGGATTCATGTTGGTGAGGTTGAGTTGTGAAGTAAATTAGCTTGGTGCTGTGTCCACAACTAGGGGGCAGCCTAGGATAGGAAGGAAGGAAGGAAGGAAGGAAGTGAGAGAGAGAGAGAGAGAGAGAGAGAGAGAGAGAGAGAGAGAGAGAGAGAGAGAGAGAGAGAGAGAGAGAGAGAGAGAGAGAGAGAGAGAGGAGAGAGAGAGAGAGAGAGAGAGAGAGAGAGAGAGAGAGAGAGAGAGAGAGAGAGAGAGAGAGAGAGAGAAGAGAGAGAGAGAGAGAGAGAGAGAGAGAGAGAGAGAGAGAGAGAGAGAGAGAGAGGAGAGAAGAGAGAGAGAGAGAGAGAGAGAGAGAGAGAGAGAGAGAGGAGAGAGAGAGAGAGAGAGAGAGAGAGAGAGAGAGAGAGAGAGAGAGAGAGAGAGAGAGAGAGAGGAGAGAGAGAGAGAGAGAGAGAGAGAGAGGAGAGAGAGAGAGAGAGAGAGAGCGAGCTTGGGGATTTGAGAGCGTTGTCGGGCTTTTGGATGGATGCCTGATACTGCTACACGTGACACAGATTTGAATGAAGCGTGGAAAAGGAATTCTTTCCTATTTGTGATACTTTTTAAAACAACTGCACGACCATAACAATTGTTGCAGTTCATAAAATACATGAAGCATCCACAGCAAGAGCTAATAAACAATCCTCAGAAACGTTGACTATTCTCTCAAAGAAAATCAAGGTTAACCACTTTAGAAGCCAAACCATTTCACATTCCAGATAAAATTGTATTATTCCTTCATGTTTGCAGCAAACTCGTGAGGTATAATTTGCATTAAGAACCTTAAGAAGCTAGTTGCTTTTTGCTGTAAGAATGTTTTCTTGTTGCCGCTTGTGCTGTTGCAAGTCTATTCAATTCAGATCAATTCAAAGATACTTTATCAATCCGAGAGGGAAATTGGAGTTTCAGTACACACATTTCTGAGATCAGACATACATAGGCAAAGACACATGACAAGAATTGGTGACTGTGGTCATTCGCAACCCGAGTCGTGCTACCTTAATAGAGATCAGAGGGGTTACATGAGGATTGGGTCAGGTGGAGGAAAAAAGGCACTTCAGAGTTACCCCCACAGGGAGGGGCAGCTTTGCTATGCAAAAAACACCTCAGACAGAATTCAATTCAATTCATTTCAAGTTTATTTATATAGCGCCAAATCACGACAAGAGTCGTCTCAAGGCACTTCACATAATAAACATTCCAATTCACAGTTCATTAAGTCAATCAGAAATAGTGTTTCCTATATAAGGAACCCAGCAAATTGCATCAAGTCATTGACTAGTGTCAGTGACTATACAGCAATCCTCATACTAAGCAAGCATGCAGCGACAGTGGAGAGGAAAACTCCCTTTTAACAGGAAGAAACCTCCAGAGAATCCTGGCTCAGTATAAGCAGCCATCCTCCACGACTCACTGGGGATCGAGAAGACAGAGCAGGCAGACAAAGACACACACACACACACACACACACAGAAATGCAACAGACTTCTGACATAACACAACATAAGTGTCCACTAGGTGGGGAGGTTGGGTTTGGGACTCTCCACACGTCAGTGATTGCAGCCACGATAAGCAGCGCTCGTCACCTCAGTCTGGACAGGGGTGGGAGGTCGTTGGGTTTAGAGGGCACAGTGACTCCTGGAACGATTCAGCGGCCTTCACAGCTCGCAGTCCCACCCAGGCTGGGATAGGTAGACAGAGTTGCCATGGCAACGACAGCATTCCACATTTCTTCAGGGGGGTATTCGTTTCAGCCTCACAGGCTCAAGGGCACCAGTTTCAGATAAGAAATTGTATTGGGGCTAGACAGAGATTATTTCCTCTCTGCTTAAAGTTCTGCTGGCATTAATAATTAATTTACTTACTTTTATAGTCGATAACTTTCATACAGTGAAAGTTTTGTTTTTTGTGATCATTATTTGCTTCTTTTTATTTTAGAATGAATTTAGCTCAAGACATCGGACTGTCTAGCTCAAATTCATGTATACCAGCAACTGCACTGTTTGACATTTCCCGACCAATCTTCTTTTAACCTGGAGGGCATGAAAAGTGTGTTATTCACTGCAGTCTTAATACGCACAAACTGTGCAAACAAGTGCACACGCCCACACACAAGTAACGAAAACATGCAAACATGAAGATAATCTCATGCAAACATTGTTACAGTGCAGGCAAAAGTTGTATGGAGTACATTTAAACACCCACGGAGACAACCACACACTCTCTTACAGCTGGTAGGTTTAAAACTTCAATAAACTGCTATGATGTAAATAAAGGTGATGAACTGTGTAGTGTCTGAGCAGAAATCCCTGCAAGCAACTCTCCCTGCCAAGAACGTGACTGGAATTAAAAGTACCAAGCACCTTTTGTTGTCTAATTTTTACCTTCTTTTGTTGTTTCACCCCCCCGGTGGCTTTATTCTTGTGGCTCAGCACATTGCATCACACTCAGCCGGCCTGGGTTTCTGCACATGCATCACTGTTGTTTCCCTTATTTGCTTTTTGTTACTCTACACCAGGTCAGTCTTTTGATAACAAAGACAAATGGACATTTGTCCAGATTAACAAGCACATTCATTCACTCATATTCAAAGATGATGATATAGACAAGAAGACGCATAAAAGACCTGCTCACGTTTGTGTGTAATACAGAGATAAAGGCCACAGGCGCGTCAATTTGGCCTCCAACCCCAGTGATTCCTCAGATACACACACCTACACTCAAACATGTGCTTAAGGTCCTGGCAGAGGTAAAGGTGGACTTTGTGGGCGAAGTATTTAATTTTGGTTTTAGAACGACACGGGAGGAAAAATGTGAACAACCCAAAAAATAACATTAAAGATGAAAAAAGAGGAGCCTTATTATTTTCTAGATATAAGTACAACAGTTAGGATCATAAATATTTGGACACAAAGGTTTTAAATTTTTATGTTCCGTAAATCACCAGAAACTGTAAATTTTTAAATTACAAGATTCAAAAGGAATGGACATGTTAATGTGGCTGCAGATAAAATGTTTAAAGGGGTGGAACATCTGATTATAATCAGTCACTCTTGAGTTTTTCATGCAGGCTGAAAATGAAAATAGTCTCCTACACCTTTCTCTTGCATTAGCTTTTGATAGAAAATAGACGATGAAACTCTAGGATTAGGAAAGTCTGACAGATCTATGTCACACTGTCACATAGCATTCATGGACTCACCCATCTTGATTCACGACGGGAAAGGCTGTCGTCGTTTTAGCGTCCAGGAAACAGCAGAAAATGTCTCAGCTACTTGAAGCTAACTGTTAGCATTAGCATCACCACCACATGGCAGAAGCTCCTCCTAGCTTGTGTTATATGTGGAGATAAAACATCAGTGTCGCAGAGCAAATGGAGTCAGTGGTCGAGTCATGTTGCTGTTATCCAATCAGAGGCAAGATGTCCAAATATCAAGTATCGTCGTGTCCTTGGGCAAGACACTTAACCCACCTTGTCCGCTGGAGGTGGTCGGAGGGACCGATGGCGCCTGTGCTCGGCAGCTTCGCCTCTGTTGGTGCACCCAAGGGCAGCTGTGGCTACATCGTAGCTCATCACCACCAGTGTGTGAATGTGTGTGTGAACGGCTCGAATGTCTGATTGTGTTATGAAGCGACTTGGGGGGTTGTAGAACCCTAAGAAGGCGCTATACAAATACAGGACATTTAACATTAAGACTCCAAATCCTGGGCTGTCCCCCCCCCACCCCCCCCACCCGAGTACGACCTGCAAGGCATTCATTCCCACCAGAGACATGTGCAAATGTATTGATTGAACGAGTGTCCAACACCTTTAAGTATAATACTTCAGCCTGATTCACACTGAGTGTTTCGGCTGTCATGGTCAAACCTTTCATCGTGAACAGAATTGTGACAAAAAAAATCTGAAAGTGAGCGTGATTTGCAGGTCCGTGGCCGTCCAGTGTGACCACCGACAGCATATATTTCACGACCAAATCTATGGAACAGTGATCCACACTTTAGTAATTGTAACTTTCGTTTTGTAACTCGTATTGTGAGATGTGTGTTGTGAAACTTGTGCAACTAGTTTAAAAACGTCTACAAAACAAAAGGTAGCACAAAACATACACCTCAATATTAATCCCCAAATGGACCAATGTGAGACGATGCAAAGGTAAATGTAATCACTACACTCACACACACACGGCA